GAAATGCAGTGGAGAAGAAACGAAGGAGCATTGTTTTATTTTTAAAAAAAAAAAAAAATATCTGATTGGTGGAGTGAAACGGTGCCACTAACGGCACCGTTACTCCCTAAACGACGTCGTGTGGATCCGGATGCACCAAGTACGGTGCAACCGGATGCACAGCATAACGATTGCCAAATGTGAATGTTCTAATAAAAATGAACTACAAATAGATCATCACTAAGTCTAGGACAAAAAATAAAATTAACTCAAATTTTAAATATAAAGTAATAGATATTTTCAACTCAACAACACCAAAATATTATCTATGCTTCCAATAAATATGTCTAAACTAATACATTCAATCATTTAGTATCTTGTTATTAATTACAGTAATTACATAATCATCAAAGTTAAATGTTGGTGAAGACAGGCCCAAGAACGACATTCAACATCAAACTCTTCATTGAATTGCTAGATACGTTGAAAGGAGTTTCGAGGAAAAAATTGGTAATGGAAGAATCTAACAATTCAAGTTGGGAGAAGTAATTTCCTCTTCAATTTAGACAACGGACGAGAATGGCGCGGCGTCTCTTCTCTTCTCTTCTCCGCAGCAAAGTACAGAAGCTCTGACGAGAATGCGACGGCGGAGGAGCAGAGGAGGGGTGTGGAGCGGTGGTTGTGGAGCTCTTATCATCGCCTCAGCCGGAGCTGCTCTTCCACCTAGAAGTGTCGCCGGTAAGCTAAGCGACGCTTTTAATTTCTATTTTAATTTCTATTGAAAAAAAAATAGGATTATTTGAAATTTTAAGTAGTCGGAGTCGGCGGGGAGCGGCGGGAAGTTTGGAGGGAATCATACCATTACCAACGGTACAGTATGATTCATCATACCAACGGTAACTCGACTCAATTTCCTAATTTTGATTTCTGATGAATTTGGAAACAACCCTCCCTACATATACTTAATCTTCATACCAACGGCAACTCAACTCAACTCAATTTCCTAATTCCTACATTTACGCACTCAGAGTCTCAACACACATATACTTAATCTTCATTCATTACCTTGCTCTGCTGTGGTTTGTCTTCATCATATCATGGTTTGTCTTAAAGACTTTGCTTACATTACCCTTCCTGGGGGTTCTTGCAGATTTGATTATTTACTTGAGGTGTGTAAGCAAGAGAGATTGCTACTTCACAGAGAGGAACAGAAGGATAAGCGAGAAAAGAAAGGGTGCTACGATCATGCAAACTACAAACGGTAATTCAATATTTGCTATATCCCAATTTTTATTTCTGATGGGATTTGGAAAATAATTTAGTATATATGTATTATGTATTTGATCCATCCCCACATATACACACACACATATATACTGTCTTCATTCATTCTTAACTAGATTTTCTTTGGTTTTTCTTCTGTTCTAAAGTCAGTTTCTTTTATCTGCTATATATTCAGTTTTTAATACATACCTTGTTGTGGGGGTGTTTATTTCCATCATGGTTCAGTCTGTAGTTTTTCTTCTGTTATGAACTCAATTTCTTTTATCTGCTATATATTCAGTTTTTAATACATATCTTGTTGTGTGGTGTTTATTTCTATCATGGTTCAGTCTGTAGTTTTTCTTCTGTTCTGAAGTCACTTTCTTTTTTCTGCTATATATTCAGTTTTTAATACATACCTTGTTGTGTGGTGTTTATTTTCATCATGGTTCATCTTAAAGACTTTGCTGACATTACCCTTCTGTTCTTGCAGATTTGATTATCTACTTGCGGTGTGTAAGAAGGAGAGATTACTACTTAAGAAAGAGGAACAAGAGGATAAGCAAGAAAAGAAAGGATGCTACAATGATGATGATCATCAGTACCATTTAAGTACAGTTGATCTCAATGAGAGTTTGATCACTCCTTCAAACCATACAGTGCCAGGTAAGGAGGAATGGAGGAAAGGCAACACCCCAGAGTTTGTTATTTCACATTCCAGTGGCAGTGATGACAGCAGAGCTTCATACCAACGGTAACTCAACATTTGCTTTATCCCAATTTTGATTTCTGATGGGATTTGGAAACAAATTTAGTATATATGTATTATGTATATGATCCATCCCTACATATAGGCACACACACATATACTCGATCTACATTCATTCTTAACTAGAGTTTCTTTAGATTTTCTTCTATTCTGAACTCACTTTCTTTATCTGCTATATATTTAGTTTTCAATACATACACTTAGTCTTCATTCATGATTTCATTCTTAACTAGAGTTTCTTTAGAATTTCTTCTGTTCTGAACTCAGTTTCTATATCTTCTATATATTCAGTTTTCAATAAATACATAGATACACTTAGTCTTCATTCATTCTTAACTAGAGTTTCTTTAGTTTTTCTTCTGTTCTGAACTCACTTTCTTTATCTGCTATGTTCAGTTTTTAATACATACCTTGTTGTGTGGTGTTTATTTTCATCATGGTTCGTCTTATTTGCTGACATTACCCTTCCGCGGTTCTTGCAGATTTGATTATCTACTTGCGGTGTGTAAGCAAGAGAGATTACTACTTGAGAAAGAGAAACAAGAGGATAAGCAAGAAAAGAAAGCATGCTACACTGATGATGATGATGATCAGTACTGTGGGGTTGATCTCAATAAGAGTTTGATCATTCCTTCAAACCATACAGTGCCTGATAAGGAGGAATGGAGGAAAAAATTGATGGGATCATTTTATGGCTTATCTTGGCAGAATGCTTTGAAGTCTGTGGTGCAAAGTGCAGCACGAAGCAACACACCAGAATCTGTTATTTCACATTCCAGTGGCAGTGATGACAGCAGAGCATTAAAGAGGAGACTAAAGTATGATGAGGTTGGGGGAGAAGTTGTGGCAGAGAGGATCAATTCCAAGAAGCGAAAGAGGGGAAGTAGGGTGCCCAACAACGGTCCAAAATCACCACCACTAGGACTGCCAGTTAAATTCAAAAATTTAATTCTCCAATTGGCTGGTAAGCGGGCAGTATGTGTCGAGAAATTAGTGATTCAAAAGGAGCTTACCAAAACGGATGTAAACAGCACCCAAAATAGGCTGTCAATCCCAGCGAGGCTTGTGAGGGAGGAGTTTCTTACAGAAGAAGAGCATCTTCTACTTTGTCAGCGCAATGGGAAGAATGTATGTTCTATAGATGAAGTTCCGTTGATCACACCAATGATGGAAGTAGCAAAGGTGAGCTTGAGGAGGTGGGAGATGAAGAAGGAAAGGGGAGTTCCCAGTGTATCTTACGTCATAGCAAATACTTGGAATGAAATAAGAAGACGGAATAAATTTGAAAGCAAGATGATAGTTCAATTGTGGGCTATTCGGGTTGACGTAGACTTGTGGATGGCTTTAGTTAGGCTGTCTTGACCTTTTAATCAACTTACCACTTCAATTTAGGAGATACAAATATGCTCTTTGTATATGCTTTTTTGTCTTTTTGAAACTAATTCAAAGAGTTTTGAATTTTGTTATAATTTCTATCAAATACTGTTCAGTTCATTTTGAATGAGAGTAGGGATTACTTTTTTATATAAATTCTCTTATTTGTGTTTTGGAATTCATAATATCAGTGCAGCTTCTTCTGGATGTCTTTAAATTGTTCTTTATATTGAGTGTTTTCTATTTTCTGTATCTGGGACTCTGTCCGGATTTTTGGGTTGTATTTGTTCTTTTAGTCTAACAGCCAATGAACACAGGTATTTACTTTTACAGTGATCAGTTGAGTAACATTGAAGTATATATAAGAATTAAAGTTTCAAGGAGGAACAAATCTTGAAGTTGCCAAGATGAAGTTCATGAAACTTGGATCAAAGCCTGATTGTTTTCAATCCGAAGGGAACCACTTCAGGTAAGATGTTTTGCTAACCTTCTCAGAAGTTTGTTACTAGCTATTGTCATTGTCTATTAAAAAAAAAAAGCTATTGTCATTGTTAATATTGTGGTGGATTAAAACAGTCTGTTTATTTACACCAAAAAAAAAAAAAAAAAAAAAAAAAACAGTCTGTTTATCTGAATGTTTTTTCTTCTACTATTTTAAATTTTCTGGGGTTCTGTTGATTTTGTGTGTAGTTTTACCCCTCTAACCCTTCCTCCTCTTCCCATTGAAACACAAATTCATCTTCAAATTTGAAGAGAGAATCTATATGTCCTAGCTGAGTTCTGTCGGAAAGTGATATTGAAACATGTGATCTATTCATTGAGATCTCACTGAATTGCTATGACAGGAACTGTTTTGAATCATTAATTTATAACCCTTGTGTGATTATAGACAATGTAAATCACCACTGCACAACTGTATGTTCTTCTGACCTGGATTGTTCCCGATTTTATACAGCTTGTATTCAATATTCATCTATAAACCTAGGATCGGTGTACTTATCCATGTTACTTTTATACTGGGAGTTTTTGGCATTTTCTGCCTGCTCAAACATTGATATGCTACTCATTAGTACTCCCGTTCTATGTACATTTATGGTTGAAATTCTAGTTTTGTAGAATCTGAGACTCTACTTTGTAATTTATACCTTATTGTGCAGAACCAATGGAAGGATTTGAATACAATTTTGAGAAACGAGACTGCCTACTTTGGAGACATTGATTGTGCCAGCCATTTATAGATAGATATGAGTTTGTAGTTTTAAAGACTATTCCCATATGCGAGTATGAGGTAACTATGACCTCTTTTTCCTAGTCTACTAACCTCACTGCTTCTAATTGTTACTTTCTGCTGATTAAATGGCCCAAAATACTCATTGCTGGTTCAAAATGTGATTGCTGGTTATATTATGAAGAAATTGATCAAGTTTATATGGGCAATCTTAATCTCTTGCTTCGACCGCTGAGAAGTGGAAAATGGACAATAACCTTTGAGGTAATAGTGATTTGCCTGAGTAAAAAAATCTAGATATATTGTGTATCTAGTCCTATAGAGTAGGAATGTATTTGATGATAACTTATGAACAATATTTAGACTTCAAGAATATATAGCTGGATAGTTCATAAACATTCAAAGGATTATTTTATGTGCTCTGCAAATTTATCTAAGTAGTTGGGTTCTCATAAACACAAAAGTGGATGGTATAATACACTGCACTAGAGAAAACAAGCCTGCTCATGTGCTTGTCTTTGAATGCCTAGCCATGATGAAAAAGTTTGCCATCATCCTTGTAATCAAATATCACCATGCTTACATGTAAAAGTGATGAGCTTTTCCATATGATAGGAGCACTCGGGACATTTTTCATTCTCTATGGTTTCTTCCAAAGTGGTTGGGTATTCAAGAGCACAATAAGGATGTCTATTGAATGAACAAGAAGAAATCATCTGGCAGTATTCTTTAAATGCTTGGCCAAAACTTTCAGGAGCCATGCTTTTCGTCCAGTTCTGATACTCATTCATGACCCTTAGCATTTTAGCTCCATATCCACTAACAATCACCTTTTGCCCTTTACATAACAATGCCCATCCTTTTATTGTTGCGCTCTCACTTTCATAAGCCAATAGATTTTTGATCCCTCGTGCTATTTCATCATTGCACTCATCACCACCTGGACTTGTTGCTTTTAAATAATTGATCCTTGATAGGAAACAACTTTGGAGCCGTGTCCAAAACCACCAAACATGGTAGGGACTTGTCAATATATGACCCATGTTTTCTTTAATATTGCTTGCTCTTATCATTTCATTTTTCCCTACATAAGCCAACTGTATATTTGAGTGAGTTTTAGAGCTTACTTCAATTATTTTAGAAGTGAACTCTCGAACCCATTTAAAATCATTGCCTCCATATAAGAAAATATGATTTTCTTGAATAATCTGATGAAAGAAAATAAGGAAGTGTTACAAAATTGATCGTTTCAACAAATAATATATTAAACAATATAGTTGTTATTAGTAAGAGGTTGAAAATGGACTTACCCAAGACTTTATGATATCATCAATATTCCCCACCAAAAGGCCAAGACTCCAAGCTTTTTCTTTCTGCCAAAGAGTAATTTCTCTTTCACTTGTGTACATACTTGAAGTAGATTTCTGAATATGAATGAAAGCATATATAATACGTAAGTAATGCTACAAAATGACATAATTTAGATTTTTAAAAAATGTAAATTTTTTTGGGCGGTAAAATTTCAAATAATTTATTGGCGGTTTTTTTATGCTTTTCGAATTGCATAGTTAGAAATTATAAGTTGGTAACGCCATAAATGTAGTGAAAGAGAGCAAAAGAAAAACATACCAATTGTTCTATCTTAATCAGAATGTCCCGTGACCAAGCATTTATCTTGTCATTAACTTCGCATGCCAAATCACTTATCAATTCATCAATATCAGTTATCAAACTATCAATACCTTGAGTCCTTTCTTTCATCTCTTTTTTGATAAATGGGATTATATTGTCTCGTTGTTGGATTCTCATTGATTGTCCTTCAATATTACGAGGATCCCATATTAGCATCATGTGCATTGTATTTGAATGAATGATCTTTCCTTGTTTGTCTAGGGAAATGATGATGGGCTCCTTTCCCATGTGAAAGGTAGAAGAGAGATTTTCCTTGACGAATCTAATGAATCTTTGTGCAATCTGTTTCCTTGGATCATCCATTGACAAAAATCGCATCTTCACTATCAATTTTTCAAACTGTTCATTTCTCCATGCTACATGATCATCCACAATTGGAATCCAAAGCATTTCTACACTTGCTGCCGAGTAAAAGGAATTGAGAACCCAAATTCTTTCGCTAGAGATGTCATGACCTGATGTTATTAGTAGGAGCATCATTCTTCTGAGCATGAAAAATTTTAACTTTCTTTTCTCCCGCCACTAATATACAAAATATTAAAACAAAGATACAAAATGTGAGAAGCAACATACAAAATAATCTTAAGTGTCAAACATATATATCTAGTGAGATGAATTGAAATGCATATAAAATCTCTAGTGCCAAACATGTCTACTTAGTTGTTAGAGTGATGAAAATTACAATTTTTTGTTTTTTAATTTTTGTAAAATTAGGGATATACAATATGCAACGACTAAAAGAACGATATAAAAATGTACAAGTAAAATTGCATAATTGATGGACTAAAATGCATCATTGTTTTTACTATAAAACAATAATGTATGTTATAATGCCTAGACTCAACTTTAAAGTTACAAAAATGTTGGTCAAAGCATTTAGCCTTACCTTGCCCCTCCTAAAATATACAACCTTATTATCATCCTTAACATTCATTATTAACTTTAAAACTTCCACATTAGTAGAAGAGTTGTTAAGCAAAGCATATTGTAATGCTTTATAAGATTCCTCTTCCCTTTTCTCTTCTGTGAAAAAAAAAAAAAAAAAAACAAAAAACAAAAAAAAAAAAAACAAAAAAAAATATTTTAAATCAAAAAGAATTTTACATAATATATATATAGCTTTATGTCATAGAAATAAATATATCTGCTATGAAACCAACCTAGCGCAGGGCGACATGTGGCGAGTATGGCTTTGATTTTGGTAGTAATGACATCTTGTTCATTTTGAAACCTGAAAAATTAATAGTCACGCCAAAATATGAAATAATATTCACTCCAATGTAATTATATTCTAGCGTTAATTTTAAAATAAATATATAGAGATTTTTTTAGTACTACTAATCTGTTACAAATATACGAAGTATAATATATTAAATATGCATTTTTTCTAATAATTTAATTTTATTGTTTGAGCAAATATGCATGTATATTCCATACCATACAAATATCAATATGTTAGAATTTAGATCTTACTTGACACCCGCCGTAAGAAGACCAACACAATGAGTAGCATTAGTAACAACACTTCTGCCAATCCAATAGCTAGCAATTGGCATGACTGAAATGACTAATTGTGGCATAGAGTAAGATGTTGATTGTTTGAGCTCAACAATGCATCTAGTGAGCTCTAAGGCATGCTTGATCGAATCATTAAATGGGTTTTGCTTATAAGAGGTTGTTGTTGAATTGGTGGTTTGTGTGACGAATGTCAATTGCTTTGTCAATCCTTTCTTATAGCCTAATCGAGAAATAATGTTGAGTTTACCATAACTAATGGAAAAGGCTATAAGCATTAGCACCAACTTTGCCTCCCATGGATGCGCTGACAGTGTGCTCAATAAATATAGTGTGGTAAGATGTCCATCTATGATGTTTAACCACCCGGACGCTATCTAAAAATAAAATAATTCAAAATAAAAGAGAATATTAAAGACGATTTTTTTTTTTTTTTTAAATCATTATATTGGATTCCGCAATTCAATTCTTTAAATTTTTAGACCATTATTACCACCATTCACATTCAATGATGGCAGCGCAAATTATGCTATGAAATTGGATCCATAATTTCTATACTATAAATTCATAATTATTGAACTCTATATTCACAATTACAAAACTCTATGTTCATAATTTTCAATGTTCATATTCCCAATTGTTGAACTCTGTATTCACAAATCACTGAACTATATGTTCATAATTTAATAACTATACAATATAGAAATTATGAATCTACAGTATAAAAATTATGAATCTATAATATAGAAATTATGGATCCAATTCCGTGTGCACCTTGCATGGTGCACACGGTTGCACAACATAATACTCCTTCAATGATATAACCATAAAATAAGTTGGGTGGACCCGCATGGGCAGCTAAACTGGTCACAGAGGTGAAACTTTGGAAAAATGACCAGGGATCGAGTCTCACCAGCGGCAGTGTGGGAGCAACCTCTCAAAGTGAAGGGGGTTCCTTGTGCGTAGTGAGCACAAGTCTAGCCTCTGTGGTTCATGTTCAGTTGAGTTACCATGATTTACATCCTCCCAAATTGGGCTGGGGTTCAGCCTTTTGGAAGAATAAAATAAGTTGGGTGGGGTTGAAAATCACACTAAAAAGTTATGGATTACATTAGATTCTAAAATGAACTTTCTTTTATAACATTTTTGGATAAAGTATAAATAAGTCATTGAACTATTTGGGAAACCGTAATTAAGCCATCAAATTCAAATAACCCACAAATAAGTTAATGAACCCGGAAAAAAAAGAGCAAATAAGTCATTGAACCCGAGAAAAAAAGAGCAATTAACATTTTTAACATGTTAATTCCAAGTTTTTACTGCCTGGATTGCTAAATATTTATTATTATTATTATTATTATTATTATTATTATTGTTGTTGTTGTTGTTGTTGTTGTTGTTGTTGTTGTTATTATTATTATTATTATTATTATTATTATTATCCACTTGAATAATATTATATTTTAAAGTAATTATAATCTAAATAGTTTTGTCTTGTTGATATTTGATTGATTTATTTATTATTATTTTTTTCCTGGATCTTCTGTTTTAAAAATAATAATAAATAAATAAATTAGATCTAGACAAGACAAAACTATTTTGATTATAATTACTTTAAAATATGTTACTATGTAGGTGGATTATAATTAAAAAAAAAAAGCGTAAATAAAATAAACATTTGGCAACCCAGTTAGTAAAAACATGGAGTTAACCTGTTAAAAATGTTAATTGTTTTTTTCTTTTCCGGATTCAATGACTTATTTGGGAGTTATTTGAGTTCGATGGCTTAATTACTATTTCTCAAATAATTCAGTGACTTATTTATACTTTTTTCCCAACATTTTTCATAACTAAATCACATAACGTATTGAGCATTTGAGTGTATCTTTATGATGAGTAAGTGAGCATCATACTAATAACAAAAAATACAGATAAGTCAACTCACAAGAGGTTATCAATAAGTACATTGCCAATTTAACAGCACGGAAGGAAAAATTGTAATTTATGCCCCTTCATAATATACTAAGTATCAATATCACTCATGAATTATTAATGGTGTAAATGTTGCCCTTCAATTTTCAAAATGGTACATATAGTGCCCCCCGTAGTGTAAATGTTGTCCCTCATTTTTCAAAGTGGTACATATATTGCCTCTCATGTACAGCACGGGAGGAGCAATATATGTACCGTTTTGAAAGTTGAGAGACAACATTTACACCACTAATAATTCAGGAGTGACATTGGTAACTGACATATTATGAAGGGGCATAAATTACAATTTTCCCCAAATTAATTATCAAATAAAAGTTAAATAAGCCATGAAAGCATATGGAAATTAAAACCTTAAATATATACCAACTAATTCTAAGAAATCATGCATATTAAGTAACAAAATAGTAATTATAAAAAGTTCTACAATGTCAATTAAATAACTTTTTTGGATTCGATCATGTGAGAACCAACCGTAACCCGCGAATTGCGAACTTGTGAAAGATTGTACCGCAACTACTATATGATTGCACTATTCAGACTCCCAGACATGCTGGAGGACCTTACAATCATATCCGAGTACGGTGCAATCATGTAATAAGTGTGGTGCAATCGTTCACAAGTTCGTAGTTCACAGGTTAAACTTGGCTCTCACATGATTATGAATCTTTCGGATTCAACCTATAACCAAAAGAAACTCTTTTGGGTAGTGGAGTTACTTCACTACACTATGTGACTATTCGTATGTCAAGAATCATACCTCCAAGCAAAGTTGTCGTATTTTTAAAGGAACATTCTTATAATTTAGACCAAGCTCCTTTAACTTCCCTTCAATGGCTTCTCCATCCGTGGCCTAAACTCATAAAATCCAATTAAGTGTTCTAATCATATCTTATATATTCACATATAGTAGTAGTCTACAAATGTCAATATATATATATATCATAAAGTATTGATAAAGAAATTGACTAACCGTTTCAAAATTGAGAATAGTCTCTGCTACACTGAGAGCAACATTGATGTCAAAATCTCTACCATCTGGACTGTGAGTTGCAGAAACAAGCTCTATGATAGCATTGTCGTCAATATGCAACTTCTCCATCTTCAATTCTAATTAATGAGAAAAGAGCGGCAAAGCCAAATGTAATTCAAGAATGACAAAAAGATCTTGATCTGATAATATTGTTTATACCTTTTCCTGGTGTTATTATATATAGTACATGAAGACGGATGAAGTTGAAAGTTGTTGGGTGGAGTCCGGTGAAAAGTCAAGTTTTGGTTAAAAAATTATTAGGGGGAGTTGTGAATTGAAGGACCAAGTCTAGCACCCAACCTATTGAGAATGTGGAGGGTATTAGAAAATAAAGTTAATTTTCATCAGAGAGGTATAACTTTTTTGCATAGTGGTAAACTATTGATCTAACAAGTGGTATTAGAGCCATATCACGTACAATTCGAGTGCAATTAAGGTTGGCAGAGTCGCCGGCTAAGTATGAAGTCCAACACCATGTCTCTTGAAAATGTATCTGTAAAAGAAATAAGCTCCTAGCTTAAAATAAGAGCTTATTTTGGAACGCAAGATAGCGTTTCAAAATAAGCTCCTAGCTTCCTAACTTTTTTTTTTTTTTTTTTCATCTTTATCCTTATTATTTTAAAGAAATGACATAATATACCCTTCCCAATTAAAACCATTTTCTCTTCTCCTTTATTTGCAACTTTCACCGTAATTATTATTATTATTATTATTATTATTATTATTATTATTATGAGATTTGCAAAAATATTGCTACTTCATTATGAGATGTTAGAATTTTAGATCATGATTATGCTAATAGTTTTATTTCAAAATGTTAATTTTTTTAAAACACAAAATGTTAAATTTTAATATGTAAACAAACTAATTTAAATTTTATAAAGATGTCTTTTTTAGTCTTTTCACATTTATCAGCTTATCAAAAAGTTAATTTTACCAAACACTTCAATCATAACAGCTAGCTTAACAGCTCTTCCGTTTTCAGCTCCAAACTTATAACTTTTCACCTTTCAACTCCTAACTTATAGCTTTTCAGCTAGGTTTGCCAAACATAACCTATTTTAATTGCAGACATACATAATCTGAAGCGCTTGATCTAACAAAAATGTTTAATTATTCTTTCAAACAAAAATGTTTAATTATTAAATTACGTACTCACCGCCTAAATTTGATAGAAATTGCTTCCTATCTATTCAAAGAATAATATAAAAAGAATAAAAAAAAAGTGGAAAGCATATATAGAATGTACTGCCTATTATCTTTTCTTTTCTTTTGTCTCCAATACATAAACATATTTCATGTATTCTCTTTACAAAAGTCAGAGATCATATCAAATTTTGTTCTAAGAACAAACATAACTTAAGTGGAAGACGCAATATGAAATGTATATAGGTGCATTAAAACTTAAAAAGAGATTTTTTTGCAAAGGATCTGATTCTTAACTTTACTTGTTTAAAGTGAGTTATAGTAGATTAAAGTGTTACTAATACTCTAATAGCATGTGCAATCATAACTAAGTTCATTGGACAATTAAATTGATAACTACAAAGTATAAAGTTTAACTCCTCGTGAAAACTGTCTATTAGTTTTCTATGTAGCTCAGACAGAATTTCTCAAGAAATAATAAAATAACAATAGATATTTGTGCAGTAGTTTTCCAGAAAGTTCTTTACTCAATATATCAATTCTCAAATCAGCAACTTTCTAAAAGAAGATGTCTTCATTTTATAGTAAAGCTTACCCCATCACATGATCCACATAAATAGCATTCCAAAGTCTTCAATTAACTACAACCACATGTTTTGTTTGAAAGCTCCATTCGTTGCGCAATATCAATTCAAAATAATTCCTTCCACATCTTTTCTTTAGCACATACCATTTTTCATGCAGAATTAATTCCATTAACTAACTTCTTAAATTAATTAAGACCACTCCTTTATTTCTTCAAAGCTGCTTAATCTATTTGTCCAACACTGTTAGCTTCCAAATAAACTCACCTTGTAGTCTGTACATATCTTCTTGACTGGAGATACGGTTCATGGTCCATAAGCAAATTCAACACACACTAATTAGATTGACAATTAAATTAGCCAATACAAATGGGTTTTTAATGTGTATCATTTGTATACTTACAATCTCCCCCTTTGACAATTTCATTGGCAAAAACAAAGACATCTATACTTAGGGCAAACAAAAGATAATAAACATGACTTTTATTAACAAATAGCCCATAGTATATCTGTTTGACAAGATACTAAAAGTAAGAGTTTA